GCGCGAATTTTAAATGAGAATTTCCGAAAACTTTTCGGTCACAATGTAGACCGAAATGGGTATTACATTCAATGGTTTCTGTAGAAGCTGCGGTTATGAGGAAGAAAAAGAGTTCATGAAACACCTACTCTTTCGTTGTCCAATGCATAATTAAAAAATAATAAAAATATTAAGCATGTATCAGCTGAGGCAAATCTCAAAATATTATCAGTGTTCCTTTACTAAAGCTAGTGTAAGGCTTGTTAAATTAATATAATGGTTCGTCAAAGATTGATTGATTTAGGGATCCTACTGGGATAATATGGTAACACAATGGGGTAATTTGGCGCGTGTTTGGTATTAATTCAGCAATTCGATAATAACGTTCACCTACCTAACAATTTTATATAATTACGTAAAATATTTTTTTAATTTAAAAAAACTATGATTTGAAAGAAGGATGTACATAATACTTATGTTATTGAACTTAGTGTATAACATACTCGTATATATTATAAATAAGATATTGAAGAATTACAGCTAATTAATACATTAACTTGGTTTTACTTAAAATTTTATTAGTTTTTATTATTAATAATAATTTTATAATTTTTATATTATTTTGTAAGCATGGCTTGGTTTATTAACTTAAGCCATTTTTTCTTGATTTTGAAACCATTTATAAAGTTTTGAAAATAAAGTGTTTAATCGTTTAATCGGAATTTTCGAAAAAAAAAACAGGGCAGTCTATGAACACTTTCGTAAAATAATTTAACCGAAGCATCTTTGTTTGGTCCAAACAATGACCGAAAAGGGGTCGAAAGAGGGCGAAAGAGAATACATATGAAAAACGATGAACTAATCATATAAAGACGAGTAGCGATTATACAAATATGTCTATAAATACATATATAGAAGAAACTGTATAGTTCTGAATGCATTGCAACGACAGCAATAGGTAAAATAGACTTTACAGTAGGTAATACATTCTCTCATAGATTTCAAATGTATAAATTTATCAGAAAAGTCCATTTCACTAAGGATGGTGACATAAATCAAAAGGCTTTTGACAAATCTGTCAAAATTTATTATCAAATTCAATTAAAGTGTGCGACCCCATTATCATCTCACCAACACTAACAGAATCGACTTGTATTTGAAGTGTATAATAAGTGTATGAAAAAAAAATGTTTATAAATAAGGTACACAGTTCTATGCTGTGAATGAAAAATTGTTTTTTTTAATGTCTCCGTATCTAATGCCAAAAACAAAAAAAAACATTGCTAACTTGGTTCCGACACTCGGGATAATACTAACTCTGCTGCAGACTATAGACTTCACTGTAGCCAAACGTTTCTTCTCCCACGTTAAGCCTTAACGTACATTTGCAAATAGATATTATAATAGCACAGAATATGTTGTAGTACTATTTTTTCAAGGTAGTTTATTTTTATTTCAATTAATAAATTCATATAAGAATACTGCAATATTAATAATACACTCACAATGTAGAGCAATCGATTGACTATTCGACAATCATTCCCGCCCTGATTTCGGAAGGTCCTCTCGTATATTTAAACTTCCCACAAATTGCTTATAAATATCTTTGAGATACTATTCTTCGCAATCTCCAAGGGAAATACGTTATTTATTAACAAAAAATCACACATGCAGGAAAACGTTTCCATTTTAACATATGTAAACATAGGAGTGTTTATGTATAAAACCAAACCATAATAGTTGAATCAATTTTCTTTATTGTTGCCATATCCTGCCTGGGCTACATCTTGCAGAGGCCATGACATTTGTTCCATTTGAGCTTCATGCATTGTGCTTTTACTGTCATTTCCTGCAAATGCATGCAGCAAGGACAACGGAACAAATGACAATAGCAACAAATCGCATTTGGCAATGTGGCCATATGTTGGGAAATGTGGTAGGTTTATATATTTTCCATACCAAATGCTGCTCCTTTTGTCGATTCGTCTTTCGACGTTCAGCACACATAGGCCACACATAGGTTGATGTCCGTCTCATTATTGTTATTCTCGACTTATTATAATTACTGGCATTGCTCTAAATGCTTTTAGCAACTATTTTGTGATATTCGACAAATTTGTGGAATGACTTCATAATGGCTTCGTTGACAGTACAATTTTGGCAATCGCATATCTTGCATGCGAATTATAAATTAATTAAGTTGTATTAGGCTTTCAAGCTTTAATTTTATTTAAATTAGGTTGATGCGATTATATGCAAGTGAAGAACAGAAAATAATATTTCTGCTTTACAGAAAATTATATTGGGCCAAATTTCAGAATTTGGGATTTCAGATTTCAATTACAGGCCTGCTTTATCAGTGGTCCTGTTATCGGAAAATAGGATTAAAATATTACTTACATTATATAATATTTTAATCAAAAATTCATTCATTAATTTTCGTAATTTGAGTGTTAATAATTAAGAAGGATTAAATTAAATGACAAATGAAAATACTTCATCATAAAAATAAATTAAATTAAACTTCTGTCTAATTCCTTGAGCAATAATTAAACTGTAAGGTAGATATACTGCTTTGAATCAGATTTATTCAGTTTTAATAATATATCAAAAATAAACAAAATATAGAAGCATTCGAACAGTAATAAAGAAACAATAATAAAAATTTGATTAGTTTATTGAAATTTTTGTTGTTGCTTTTTTATTACTATTCGAACCCTTCTAGTTTTTTTTCGTCAGAAGACACGTCACATTCGACAAAAAAAATAAATATTAAACAAAATATAATAAGTCAATTATCAATATTTAATTACTTGAACTATATGCAATGGTTTAGTAATTAAACGAAATTTAATCATTTTACATCGTAGTTTTTTCCTTACCATTTCAAATAATATATAGGATACATGATTTTTAAAAACAAATAAAACACATAAAAATAAATAAATTCAGTCAATATATAAAACGGTTGAGTCTCTTATATTTACTTTATTTTTTATTTGCAGAATTTGCAAAGGTCTTATAAGTAGCATCTTCCCGTCGTAACAAGATATATATAATATTCATCTATATACTAGAAATTGTTTTAGATTTCTCGACTTAGGGCGACATTGGTGATCATACTTTAATTGTCATTAAAGTGGTACTGTTTCATGATCCTACCAGTGTTATAAACTGCACCAAACATTCAGGTTTTTGAGTTGTGTCAGCAGCTTTTCAATTATCATTAGATATTTGTCTCCGAAAATGTGACACTTTTGCTTATCGGTAAGACCTTAAAAAAAAAATTTACAATAAAGCAGAAAGTCGTTTAATTTTCAACCGTTTAAGTGAACATTTACTAAAGTCACAAAGCAAGCAATAAGTTTGCGACGTCAGAGAGTGTGAAAGAAGCATGAACTATAGGTAGTGTAGGAGTAAATCCATCTGTGATGGCACTGACTCAGAGTACCCTTTTCTCTAGCCATCTTTTGCTCTTTTATATGAGTTACTATTGGCTTATCTTTTTTAATGGGTTTTATCTCATGATTAAATCGATTTCAAGTTTATAAGAGTTCCACTCCATGATACTTGGGTGTCTTTGTTGGGAAATAAAATTGTAATTCCGAGGATGTAGGTTCCGCAGGTGTATATGTCAGTTTATGGCTGACATAAAAAGACTTATTATAATATATATTATTGAGTCTTATAAGGACAAACACCGAGGTGGTAAATTGGCTGTGAAGTTTTTCAAGAAATTTTCGAACAACCGACTTATTGATCGACATTTGAAGTGTATTTCTTATTAAGCATTAATCTTGAAAGTAGGATTAATGTTCAATTATAGCTTTAAACTTAGGACAGAATTAGAAATTCTAGATCATTGATCAGATGAACTACCCTTGAACTTTGGCATACAACTCTGATGCATATATCCATAAAGGATCTTATTACCCCCTTATGATTATGAGAGTGCAGACAGAAATGCAAACAATTCTCTTATGTCCTATTGGAGTAGAATATGTAAAAATCAAATAATTAAATGTATTAATCAGGTTAAACTATTTACTTTTTGGAAGACTTTCTTTGGCCAATTAAGCTAATATCTTTCAGTATTGTGTTAACATCTCTTAACTTTTTCAAAGCATAACATTCCTAGTACTAAAAAAAGCCAATAGAATTATTGAAAATTTTTCTTTAAATTATTTTCATTTCAATAAGTTTTAAATCAATTTGCCAATGAAATAACTACACTATAGTTGTACCTATAAGTGCGTAAAATTTAAATAATTTAGTGATTTTGACTATTAGCATAGTAAGGATTGCTAAATACCTTCGATTTTCTACGTCGGTTTTCACTTCACTTTCAATTCCCCAAGAAACTTGCATGATTGTAAGTAATTACATCCTGTGAAAATGCATCCTTTACACTTTCCAACACATGTCGGTTTAAATTCGATTCCCTAGAGTTTTTGGGTGATTATACTACTGCCAAGTGGCACAGAGATACTTTAACTTGAAAACTTGAAATTGCATATTTTGAACCTTAATTTGTGCACATTAGATGCTACGATGCCATTTTGCCGATAACTCAAAACGACGACAAGTGTTACATTCATCAATTAACACAAATATGAATCGAATATATTAAATATGTTGAAATATTGCTCGAACTGTATCGTTTTCAAGTACCGATGCATCACCACATTAATTAACACATTCAGGAGTTAATGAGCAGTCAGTCCTGCAACTATTGCCAGTGACAAGTACTGTACTCGTACAAAGGAGGCGAGCATCGTTGGCATTTAGCTCAGTTGTGGCATATTTTCCGGTTGAAAATTAATTTATGCTACACAATTTGGTATGTGAAAAATATGTCAAACTAGATGGATTTGTTTATAAATGCAAATGTTAATTCTCCGACTGTCAATCTGTGCAAAATATATGGACAGGACATGCATTCTGCGCTGCTGCATGTTGAAGCCACAACAAAAGTGCAACTGTTAAAATTTCACTGACACAGAACTTCCGCCCCCACAAATTTATTGGTCAAAATTTGTTGGCAACTTAAATGGCGTGTTCTGTTTGCGTTAACCAAATTGAAATTTTATATACAATTTTGTTCAGTTGAAAATATTTAATTTTATTTCAAAATCAACACAATTTTCGCTTTTGAAGCAAATTTGCATATTGCCAAAATTTTTCCACCCAATTCATGCATTTTTTTATATAATTTTCCTATTTGCTTTTCAATTTTTAAATTTTCTTTTTTTAAATTTTAAAAAGTTCTATAAAAATTAGCACAAATGTCAATATTTCATGTAGTTAATGGTAAATA